ATATGCGCATTATACATTACACTAATGATTGTACAACTTACTATTACTCTTACGTTACACAGGCTACATGTAGCCATTGGCTACACCTATATTTATTCTAAATAATAATAAAAGAACAAAAAATCAGAATAAATATTTATTTTAAAAACTAAACGTAACAATTCTTTGAGTGATGCTTAGTTTATGCACAAAAATTATTTTTAATAAAAATTAGATTCTACCAAAAAATCATGATATCCCAAATCTCGACAGGTCATAATACTGCCATCATGCAAGATAACAATTAAAAATTTGGTGTCTGACAATAATTGTTAATGTGATTACTAATCTTTAAATATTAATCATTATGTTAGAATTATAGTTGTCAAGATTTTTAATATTGAGATTTTTTAGTAAAACCCATAAGAATCACCAAACTAGAGAAGTATTATATCATTTACAGTTTGTACACTTTCTATTATTCTTATTTCTTTAACTATCTAAAAAAATCAGTCGCATTTTGTGCTATCCTATTTGGCTAATTTGGTATAGATTTGATAGATTCAATTTTTTTAGACATGATTAACTTCTTTTGACATTTGCTAATAATACAAGAAAAAAGTTGTTGTATAAATTTTTTGCATTATACTATTCGAATGGTCAGTACAAATAGTATAATAATATTGACCTCACATAAGCAAGGAAAAATCAATTTTTAGATTCTACTACAAAATTCTAATATCCAAAATCTTGACAAATAATAATACTAACATTGCATGATGTAAAAATTAAAATTTAAAGTCTAATAATAATTGTTAATATGATTAGGGACATAATAAAAATCAGGTGATTTTTTAGAAGAGAAGAGTGGTAAAAAATTTAAATTAATATATAAAGACCTGATCAAAATATATATTAAGAGAGAGGAAGGGTAAGCTTCTGATAAAAAAAAAATCAGGTAATAAATGACACTGCCTTTACTAATCTTTAAATGTTAATTGTGATATCAGGATTATAGTTTTGAGATTTTAGATATCAGAATTTTGTAGTAGAACCAGACAAGTAAAATAATAACATTAATGATTAGATTAAAAAATTTTAACTTAAGGTCACAGAATATGAGAGTGTGATTAAATGAATTCATTTAATAAATTAGACAATAATATAAAAATTGGTGATGGAGGTTTGGTTCAGTGTATTAGCAAAGTAGATAGTAAAAAAAGGTTTCAGATAAATACATGTAGTCATATACATCATCATACATGGTTGAACTCAAAACATTATCTGGTTTCCAAAATAATTTTAATAATTTTTTAAGAGAAGTAAGTTAATAGTTTACTTATTATTTAATATACTATAAATAAATTGGTAAGGAAAGGGACAGAAATCACCTGATTTTTTAGAGGGTGGGGTTTGTGGGTTAATCAGATTATATATTATAATAATTAAATTTAATTGGCTAATGTTTAAATCAGGTGGAGTGGGGATATAGCCTCTTAGTAAATAGAAATCATCTGATTTCTGTCCCTTCCCTAATATTACAAATTTATTTGTTTAACAAGTTTAAAAGCTGTATAAAATGTAAATCAGTAGGAAGTAGTCTTGAAGTGTATAAATTAACTCAAAATACAACAATGAATATTTAATGGTGTTTCAATATGAAATAAAGAAAGTCTTTGTAATTTCTAATTAAAAAATTTTAGAAAACTTAATTAGAAGTAGTGATACAAATCAAAAATCAAATTAATCAATTAGTTGTAAAGTTGATAACTAATCAATTTGAATTTTATAAACCCAACTTAGTTGATTAATTGATTAGTCAACTAATTAATTAATTGATTGGCCAATTAATTGATTAATTAATTAGTTGATTGGCCAACTAAATAATTAATTGATTAGTTGATTAGTCAATTAATTGACTAGTTGATTGGTTGATTAAATTAACTGATTATATAAGAATATGTATCAATCAGCTTTTTTAATTGCTACCTTATATGTATTTTACTAAGTTTGTTTATAATTATTTAACTAATCGATTAGTTAAATAAAAACTAATTAATTGATTAGTTGAATAAAATGATCTATCAACCAATCAATTGAAAAATTTTTATCAATTTGTATCACTACTTAAAATATCTGTAACAAATTTATTTGAATAATAACCCATAATATTACTACTTAGTGTATAAATTATTATTAATAAAATCATCAATATTATCATCTTTATATTTGATTTTAATACTTTGAGAGGCAGTTTTATTAATATTAAATAAAATTCCACCTTTTAGTCCAAATTTAATTAATTCAGTAACTTTTAAATCATAAGCAAAAAAGAGTTGTATTCGAGAATAAAATCAAATTGCTAAATATATTAACTATGACTGAATTATTAAAGTTATTTGATAAATCAATATGATCTTTAATAAATATTCTTTAGCATAATAGTGTGTGGTAAAACCTTCTATGAGAAAACTAAATTAATATTTATTTATTTTACTCTGGATAGTAAAGTAAGCAGTGCAAATAAGAAATTCTTAGCAATAGATTCTATAAATCAAAATAATAAATAAACTTTCAAAAGCTTTCTACAATATTCATATCTATTTATAGATTTTTTATATTTCTTTCTCAATGGTAAACCAATACTGTAATTGAATTTTCATTTACAAATATTATAATTATGATTACTTTTAGTATTATTATAGTTGTTAAAATAGTTTTTAAAGATATTTTAACAGATCCTAGAGATGTTACTATAGCTTCTGTTATAATTGTTGCTATAGTTTTCAGAATGTTATTGTAGTTACTTAAATAAAATCTATGATAATAGAATTCTTCTGAAGCCTCTGATTGGTCTAAAGAATTCTTATTATCAAGATCAGTACTGAGATCATTATTAATGCTAGAATTCTTAAAGTTATGATTATTATTTTAGATCTTATTACCATTAAGATAGTTATTATTATCAATATTATTTGAATATTTGTCAACAGTAATAAGATTATTGTTATTATCAGAATTCTCAAGGTTATTATTGATATTATTTAGATTATTATCAACAGTAATGAGGTTATTGTTGTTATCAGAATTCTCAAGATTATTATCAATATTATTTAGATAATTGTTAACAGTAATGAAATCATTGTTGTTATTAGAATTTTCAAGGCTATTATTACCATTTTGTTCATAATTATCAATATTATTCTGGGAATTCACATTATTAAGATCAATACTGAGATCATTATTGCTACTTGAGTTCTCAAGATTATAATTACTGTTTGTTTATAATTATCAATATTATTCTAAGGATTTGTATTATTAGAATTAATATCAAGATCATTATTATTAGTATTTAAAATTTAGATTGAAACCTACTTATACAATTGCAGTTATAGCATATGTTTTGATTGCACAAACTAACTACTAGTTATATATATATGTATAAAAATTTTTATATATATACTGTTACAGGGTAACTTTATAATATTACACTAATAGATTTGTAGAACAATACTTTATAATTTATAGTTTATATTTTA